TTTTTTTTGAGATGGAGTTTCCCTTTTGTCACCCAGGCTAGAGTGCAATGGCGCCATCTAGGCTCCCTGCAACCTCTTCCTCCAGAGTTCAAGCAATTCTCCTGCCTCAGCCTCCTGAATAGCTGGAATTACAGGTGCCCAGCACCATGCTGGCTAATTTTTGTATTTTTAGTAGTGATGGGGTTTCGCCGTGTTGGCCAGGCTGGTTTCAAATTCCTGGCCTCAGGTGATCCTCCCGCCTTGGCTTTCTAAAGTGCTGGGGTTATAGGCATGAGCCACCATGCCTGACCTAATTTGTTTTAACTACAACGTCTCCAACAAGTAGGTCAGTGCTAGCACAATGTAAGTACATAGTAAATATTTATTGAGTGAATGAGCCAAAGGAACTGCTCCCTCAGTGGTGATAACCTGACATGGAAGATGTGCCACCCTCTATCCAGAAATTATTGTTCTACATCTTTTTAATTTTTTATTTATTTATTTATTTTGGTATTTTTAATAGAGATGGGGTTTCACCATGTTGGTCAGGCTGATCTGAAACTCCTGACCTCGTGATCTGCCCGCCTTGGCCTCCCAAAGTGCTGGGATTACAGGTGATCCACCTTGCACAGCTTATTTTTATTTTTATTAAGGTTCATTTGTATTCTAGGTTTCTGTTAGAACCCTTCTTCCCTAATATGAATCTTCTCGTTTTCAGGCAATTGGCTGTGGTATTGTAGAAAGCATACTAAACTGGGTGAAGTTTAAGGCCCAAGTCCAGTTAAACAAGAAGTGTTCAGCTGTAAAACATAACAGAATCAAGGGAATTCCCAAACTTGATGATGCCAATGATGCAGGTATATATTTAATAATGTTTCCAAACTTTAAGTCTTACAGTTGTTATTCATTAACGGTATACCATGGATATTTATTCAACCTGTTTCCTATTATGGAACATTTAGGCCATTTTTAATTTTAGCTTGTTATAAATAATATTGAGGTGATCATTTTGGAGTAAAACAAGAATGTTTACATCATGATCTATTACCTAACAAATAATTTTACTTGTTATATATTGTAAATTATTTGTGTTTTATCACAAGGCTATAAACAGTATGTTCAAATTAGTATATTTAAGGTTGAACTAAATGTGCTAATATTAACTTGTGTATTTTTATTTTAGGGGGCCGAAACTCCACTGAGTGTACGCTTATCCTTACTGAGGGAGACTCAGCGAAAACTTTGGCTGTTTCAGGCCTTGGTGTGGTCGGGAGAGACAGATATGGGGTTTTCCCTCTTAGAGGAAAAATACTCAATGTTCGAGAAGCTTCTCATAAGCAGGTAGAATATAAAACTATCTAAACCTAGTTTATAATTGAAGACTTTATGCTTATATTTTCCCTCATTGGGCTTTTTGAAACATCTTTCAGTTGGATTTGTGATTATTTTGAGAAATTGGATATATTGTAGCCTATCTTTTTTAACTCCACATGCACGTAGTATTTTATTCTTTGAAGATTGCTTGTAAAACATTGCACTGAGTCAAACTGAAAGATAAAGTTCAAAATAGTTTTTAAAGGATGTTAAAACATATGTAATGACCGTCCACTGTACAAAATCTTGATCTTAGAGCTTATGATACATCCAGTTGGCAGTAGCACCAAGGTTTTCCAAATAGCCAGTCATCATTTTTCTCTTGTATGCATAGACTGCTTCTGATTAGCTGCCTTCTGCTTTTGTTGCATGAGCTCAGAGTCCCTCTGCTTTCTCTGAGAGGTAGTCAAGCTATCCTCTTTTCTTTTTCCCTTGCTAATTTCCTGGGTTTTCTTCATGTTTTTCTGGCGGACAAGTTCTTGTTGATTTTCACATGCCATGCTGCTCACCGACGAATCCTAGAAGAGAGCAACTTGGAAAAGCAACAGCTCCCTGGCACACTGGGCTGCCGTCACCACCGTCGACCAGGAAGGCTGAGCCTGTGTGGGCCCTCTGCCCGGCAGCACCCCCACTTTGCTCTGCCAGTGGCCTTGTAGCCTGTCTTAACAGACCTTTCTGACTTAGTGTATAAGCTAATAATAGCTCAAAATACTGGAGCTCAAGAAAATCGAAGCAACATATACTGTTATATTTCTTTGTTCTTTTCAAATGTATAAACAAGACATTAATTTTTTTGGTATATATGTCCATTTCAGATCATGGAAAATGCTGAGATTAACAATATCATCAAGATTGTGGGTCTTCAGTACAAGAAAAACTATGAAGATGAAGATTCATTGAAGACTCTTCGTTATGGGAAGATAATGATTATGACAGATCAGGTCAGATTTGTTATCAAATTTTTAGATTGTTCAACTAAATTAACCATGTCTTAGTTACATTTTTGTTTTTGGCCATGAAATAAATTACAATTACTAGGCCAGGCACAGTGGCTCATGCCTGTAATCCCAGCACTTTGGGAAGCCAAGGCTGGCAGATCACAAGGTCAGGAGTTCAAGACCAGCCTGGCCAACACCGTGAACCCCACGTCTACTAAAAATACAAAAATTACCCAGGCATGGTGGCACATGCCTGTAATCCCAGCTACTCAGGAAGCTGAAGCAGGAGAATCCCTTGAAACCCAGGAGGCAGAGATTGCAGTGAGCCGACATGGTGCCAATGCACTCCAGCCTGAGTGACAGAGCAAGACTCCATCTCAAATAAATAACTTAAACAGGAGATTTATTCATTATCTCTAATCAGATATGCTTATATCATATGTATGTTAAAATACAGGTTAAGTGTGTCTGGATTTGAACAGACCTTTTTTAATTCCCATAGAAAATTTGGCAAATTGCCAGTAAGTCAATGATAATTTTTTTTATTTCTGAACAGTTCTTTTTTTATTTGTTTGTTTGAGATGGAGTTTCACTCTTGTTGACCAGGCTGGAGTACAGTGGCTAAATCTTGCTCACTGCAATCCCCACCTCACGGGTTCAAGCGATTCTCCTGCCTCAGCCTCCCAAGTAGCTGGGATTATGGGTGCCTGCCACCATGCCTGGCTAATTTTTTTATTTTTAGTAGAAACAAGGTTTCAACATGTTGGCTAGGCTGGTCTCAAACTACTGACCTCAGATGATCTACCTGCCTCAGCCTCCCAAAGTTCTGGGAATACAAGTGTGAGCCACCAAACCTGTCCTAAACAACTCTTTTGAACTTTGGCTTCAAATATTTCTAGGACCAAGATGGTTCCCACATCAAAGGCTTGCTGATTAATTTTATCCATCACAACTGGCCCTCTCTTCTGCGACATCGTTTTCTGGAGGAATTTATTACCCCTATTGTAAAGGTATGCTAATTAATAAGATACCATAATGGATATTTTAAGGCCCTACTCCTCAAACCTGGATATACATATATAATAAGCCCAGTCATATGTAATGGAATGCAGGGGACCCCACAATGTACAAAGCCATAGTCATTGTTTTTTATCACAGGTATCTAAAAACAAGCAAGAAATGGCATTTTATAGCCTTCCTGAATTTGAAGAATGGAAGAGTTCTACTCCAAATCATAAAAAATGGAAAGTCAAGTATTACAAAGGTTTGTAATGAAATCCATATAGAACTTCTCACTTTATTACATACTCTGTACAAGACTGTATGAGGAAAGTTAGTATTCTTGGTTTTATAGGTTTGGGCACCAGCACATCAAAGGAAGCTAAAGAATACTTTGCAGATATGAAAAGACATCGTATCCAGTTCAAATATTGTGGTCCTGAAGATGATGCTGCTATCAGCCTGGTACATACGTTTAAGTTGTATTTTATATATACATTTCAATTTTAGAAATCACTTCTTTAGTCAATTGAAACATTTACATTTTTGTATAAGAATGTTTTATAGTATAGAATGTTTCCAGTAAGCATATCCCAGAGATGGAATCAGATATTTCAGAAAATTTTGATTTTGGCTGGGCATGGTGGCTCACTCCTGTAATCCTAGTACTTTGGGAGGCCGAGGCAGGTGGATCACCTGAAGTCAAGAGTTGGAGACCAACCTGTCCAACATGGTGAAACCTCATCTCTACTAAAAATACAAAAATTAGCTGGGTGTGGTGGCAGGCGCCTATAATCCCAGCTGCTCAGGAGGCTGAGGCAGAATTGCTTGAACCCTGGAGGCGGAGACTGCAGTGAGTCAAGACTGCGCCATTGCACTGCAGCCTGGGCAAGATAGTAAAACCTCAGGCTCAAAAAAAAACAACAAAAAAAGACCAAAAGGCCGGGCCAGGTGGTTCACACCTGTAATCCTAGCACTTTGGGAGGCCAAGGCAGGCAGATCACCTGAGGTCAGGAGTTCTCTACCAGTATGACCAACATGGAGAAACCGTGTCTCTACTAAAAATACAAAATTAGCTGGGCATGGTGGTGCATGCCTGTAATCCCAGCTACTTGGGAGGCTGAGACAGGAGAATCACTTGAACCCAGGTGGCGGAGGTTGCAGTGAGCCAAGATTGTGCCATTGCACTCCAGCCTGGGCAACTAGAGCGAAAATCCATCTTGGAAAAAAAAAAAAGAAAACAGAATTTTTGTTGTTTTTCTGTTGTTTGTTTGTTTGTTCTTTGTGGAAGGATACATGGAACCTATTAGTACCAGTGACATCTTTTTCATCCTTAAATGTGTAGGCCTTTAGCAAAAAACAGATAGACGATCGAAAGGAATGGTTAACAAATTTCATGGAGGATAGAAGACAACGAAAGTTACTTGGGCTTCCTGAGGTAAAAGTGTTAAATATATCCCACAAAATGGACTGTTTGACTGACCTTTTGGTATTGATAATATAGCAAATTAAACTTAACTGAATAGTTATTTTAGTAAAAATTTGAAATGATAGAATCGTGCAGCAGCTAAATTTGCTTTATCTTTAAAACAAAATATTTCTGTATTCTATATTTTATAAAGACTTAATAATTATAGAAATAATTCTAAAGGTTTCTTTGTTTGATTTTTGTGTTGAGCATTGTTAAGCATTTGTCTTATGTAATACTGTTTGGTCCCTCAGGATTACTTGTATGGACAGACTACCACATATCTGACATATAATGACTTCATCAACAAGGAACTTATCCTGTTCTCAAATTCTGATAATGAAAGATCTATTCCTTCTATGGTGGATGGTGAGTTCCACTTTGTTAGTCTGTTTTTATTATAAGATGGAAATCAAATTCCCAAAAATGGATAAATTGAGGATACTTAACGTTTGCCCTTATTTCATTTTAAAGGTTTGAAACCAGGTCAGAGAAAGGTTTTGTTTACTTGCTTCAAACGGAATGACAAGCGAGAGGTAAAGGTTGCCCAATTAGCTGGATCAGTCGCTGAAATGTCTTCTTATCATCATGGTGAGGTAAACACACAATCCATGTTTCCAGAAAGCATTGTATCTTCAGAAATACCTGCATAGTCAGTCTCAAAATAGATTTGGTGAAAGTATAAGGTCATATATTCATAATAAAGAACAAGTTAGTAAAACCTATCAATCAGTAAAACTGCTTGCCCTTTGATTTCTGAAGATAATATTCCTTCAGGGATACTCATAAATCTGCAAAGGTCTACATTTAAAGATAGTTAGCATGTGTATTATAACTTTGTGATGTCAAGATTTAGACCTCCACTGATTGGCAAATTGTCATAATAAATTGTGACACATATATGCATGGAATCAGTGCTATAATTTCAGTAAAACTGCACTGACACTGAGGAATATCGATGGTCTATTGTCAGGTGAGGAAAAACAGAGGCAGAATAATAACTAAAAATGTCTATAAGAATATGCTGTAAATTGTTCACTTTAGTTATCCCTGGGAATTGGAAAGGGCAACTTTCAATTTTTAAATATGTCTGAATTGTTTGACTTTACACCAACACCAACAGATACTCCTTTTTTATTTTGTGATTGCTTTTTGCATTAATTATGTAAAACAGTTCTAAAGAACTGGATTGCCTACAAGTTTCTAGAAATTTAAATACAATGGTTGTTTTGTTGCTTTCAATCAAAATATAGTGGGGATACAATAAATGTTCACCCAACAAACATTTGTTGAATGCCTGCCATGTACCAGGTACATAGAAATAAATAAAAATAATACGTTTCTTATCTCCAAGGTATAGTAACAATTTAATCAGAAGACCAATATATCTACACAGCTATAGAATAAAGTGATACATGCTAGAATAGAAATGAGCAAAGCATTGTAACACAAAGGAGGAAATATTTCATTTTGCTGAGGATAAGGAGAGGAACTCTGCCTTCAAAGTTGAGCGGGGTTTAATAGATAGAATTATTGGAAGGCAAGAGCCCTGAACTTGAGCTAAAAGTCGTAGGTTCAAGTACTACTTCTGCCATCTATTAATATGAGGAAAGTCACTACACAACTAAACCTCACAAAACGTTACTGGATTATAGTGAGGTTTGGTCATAATAATGTATTTGTATTAGTAAAAGCCTCAGCTTAATAAATCTTTTTTTCCCCACAGATGTCACTAATGATGACCATTATCAATTTGGCTCAGAATTTTGTGGGTAGCAATAATCTGAACCTCTTGCAGCCCATTGGTCAGTTTGGTACCAGGCTACATGGTGGCAAGGATTCTGCTAGTCCACGATACATCTTCACAATGCTCAGGTAGGTATGCTTTCACTTTCTGGTGAATTGCCATTTCCAGTTTTGAAACAATGTGAGATTTAGTTGACTAATAATACAAAAACTCCGTTAATCAGAAAATACTGGCTTCTAGTGGGCAAAGGCCGGGGTGAGGCTTATAAATACCCTAACATACACAGGAAAGCCCCCTCATAACAAAGAATTATCCAGTGCAACATGTCAGTTATGCTAAGACTGAGAAACCCTGATGTAGAGTTCGGGACTGAGTAAAGAAAACTTTGATTCTTCTAAATATCACTATTGAAATTTTACTCCTTTACAAAACTATGGAGAGTACATTATGAATGGCCAATTTTCAGCTGTCATCCCAGTCACCCTTTCAGTGGCATTCAACACAGTTACTAATTGCTCCATCCTTAAAACACCTTATTTGGCCTCTATGACAGTAGACTTCTCTGGTTCTCTTCTTCCTTATTAGCTTTCTTTGCTGGATCCTTCTCACCTTCCCAACTTCTAAATACTGGTTCATCCTAGGGCTCCTTCATCAGATCTCTTTCTACTATTTCTACTCAGTTCCCAAATAATCTCACATTTATCTGGTCTATACCTTTAAATTTCCAGTCCTGGTCTCTCCCCTGAACTCTCAACTTTTATGTCTGACTGCCCTCTCAACATTTCCCACTCAGATATCTAGTTAAGTATCTCAAACATAAGTATCTAAAACCAAATCTTCAGTTTTCCTTTCTCAGTAAATGAAATGCCATCCTTCTAATTCCTCAAGCGAAAAACCTTGTCACCCTTGACTCCTTTGCTTGACACTTACATTCAGTTCCTCAGCAAATTTTATGGGCTCTGCACTGGAAAAATACTAAGCCACCCCCATCTCATCTAAACTATTGCAATATAATCTACCGTCTATCTTTTCTTATAGCAGCCAATTGTTTTTTTAAAAAAAATAAATCACTCCACCTGGGCACAGTGGCTCATGCCTATAATTCCAGCGGCTTGGGAGGCCAAGGTGGGCAGATCACGAGGTCAGGAGTTCAAGACCAGCCTGGCCAACCTGGTGAAAACCTGCCTCTACTAAAGATATAAAAAATTAGCTGGACGTGGTGGTGCACACTTGTAATCCCACCTACTTGGGAGGCTGAGGCAGGAGAATTGCCTGAACCTGGGAGGCAGAAGTTGCAGTGAGCCGAGATCATACCATTGCACTCCATCCTGGGTGACAGGGTGAAACTCCCATCTCGAAAAAAGTAAAAATAGGTCACTCTGATTCAGAGCCTTCAACTACTCAGAGTAAAATCTAAAGACCTCTTTTAGCTAACCAGACATTATGTGATCCATGTCCCCACCTTCCATATCTCTTGATTCCTTCTCATACCATCTCTTCTCCAGCCACACTATCCTCAGCCTATACTCAAATACACTAAGCACATTTCCTCTTCAGGGTCTTTTACTTACTGGTTCCTTTGCCTGCAACACTGCTTCTCTAGATATCCATATGGCTCGGTCCCTCAGTTTCCTTCTTTCTTTTTTCTTTTTTGAGTTTTGCTCTTTTTGCCTAGGCTAGCACGATCTCAGCTCACTGCAACCTCCGCCTCCCAGATTCAAGCGATTCTCCTGCCTAAGCCTCCCATGTACCTGGGATTACAGGTGCACACCACCACAGCCAGCTAATTTTGTATTTTTAGTAGAGACTGCATTTCACTATGCTGGCCAAGCTGGTCTTGAACTCCGGTCCTCAGGTGATCCCCCTACCTTGACCTCCCAAAGTGCTAGGATTACATGCTCGAGCTACCATGCCTGACCCCCTCAATTTCTTTTCTCTGCTCAAATGTAATCTTATCAGAAAAGGCATAACTTTCTTTCGTACCTCTTCAGTCACTTTCTTACTTTTCCTTCTCAGTATTTAGCCCACCACCTAACAAAATGTATGTTCATTGTCAAATCTCTACTGGAATGTGAGCTCCTTGAGAATTGAGACGTTATGTACCTAACACGTAGAAAGTGCTCAGTAAATATTATTAAATGAGTATTAGTCAGCAAGTAAAACCAAGATAATTTTCATATATAAGTATGAGATAACATATGTCCTTTTCATAAAAGCTGTGTCAAATTCAGTATTTTTAAAAAATTATATTATTTGATTCTTTTCTTTAGCTCTTTGACTCGGTTGTTATTTCCACCAAAAGATGATCACACATTGAAGTTTTTATATGATGACAACCAGCGTGTTGAGCCTGAATGGTACATTCCTATTATTCCCATGGTGCTAATAAATGGTGCTGAAGGAATCGGTACTGGGTGGTCCTGCAAAATCCCCAACTTTGATGTTCGTGAAGTTGTAAATAACATCAGGCGTTTGATGGATGGAGAAGAACCTTTGCCAATGGTAAGTATTCTGTGTGTGTTATAAGAGCTTTACTTTTCCTTGGGTTTCAATTGAGTAGATTGTATAATTAAAGAGGATGCAAACATAAAATTTAATTTCATACTTCATACTTAGATTTATTGTTACACACTGTTGTGATTTCTGTCTAGTATAACATTTAGGAAACATTTTTTTTTAAATGCCAATTCAGCTTCCAAGTTACAAGAACTTCAAGGGTACTATTGAAGAACTGGCTCCAAATCAATATGTGATTAGTGGTGAAGTGGCTATTCTTAATTCCACAACCATTGAAATCTCAGAGCTTCCCATCAGAACATGGACCCAGGTAAATAATTGTGGATTTCTTTTTTAGTTTTGTGATCAAAAGAAACACTTTTTGTATTACTGCTTTTGACTATTCAGGAGCCTATATTTTAGAAACTTCAGGATTATTTATTTCTTTAGACATACAAAGAACAAGTTCTAGAGCCCATGTTGAATGGCACTGAGAAGACACCTCCTCTCATAACCGACTATAGGGAATACCATACAGATACCACTGTGAAATTTGTTGTGAAGATGGCTGAAGAAAAACTGGCAGAGGCAGAGAGAGCTGGGCTACACAAAGTCTTCAAACTCCAAACTAGTCTCACATGCAACTCTATGGTATGTATTTGTTTTGCGAGATGTACATATGTTTCAATTTATATTAAAGATTAATATCTGGCTCACGCCTGTAATCCCAGCACTTTGGGAGGCTTGAGGTGGGTGGATCACGAGGTCAGGAGTTCAAGACCAGCCTGGTTAATATGGTGAAACCCCATCTCTACTAAAAATACAAAAATTAGCTGGGTGTGGTGGCTAATGCCCATAGTCCCAGCTGCTTGAAAGACTAAGGCAGGAGAATCACTTGAACTCAAGAGGTAGAAGTTGCAGTGAGCCAAGATGGTGCCATTGCACTTCAGCCATGGGCAACAGAGCAAGACTCCGTCTCCAAAAAAAAAAAAAAAAAAAAAGATTATTATCAATTTTAAAAGTATATCTTATCTTAGTCTACCTTTATAAAGTTTAGCCAATTTGTCTATTCTTGGCTCTGATATTGTTTTCCTTTGCCAGGTGCTTTTTGACCACGTAGGCTGTTTAAAGAAATATGACACGGTGTTGGATATTCTAAGAGACTTCTTTGAACTCAGACTTAAATATTACGGATTAAGAAAAGAATGGCTCCTAGGAATGCTTGGTGCTGAGTCTGCCAAACTGAATAATCAGGCTCGCTTTATCTTAGAGAAAATAGATGGCAAAATAATCATTGGTATGTTTTGGTAATAATAACTGCTTACTAAAACTCTAGTTATGCCAAACTTTCTTTAAACATTTTTGGTGAGAGTAATGGTGGAGAGAGAGTCAGAATCCATTTAATTCACCTAGTCACTTATGCAAAGATTTCTTTTAAATATCTGATTCGATATTTATAGTTTGAAAGAGATGGTGTTTCCTTGATTGAGCATCTTGAGAAATCAAGATTTAGTTGACAATTAGACATGAGGAGAATAGAAAGCTAGAAAATCTTGCATAAACTGATTGATCAAGAGAATAATAGTACACTAATCATGCTACAGGAACAGAAAATAAAAGAAAAGATAGTAAGTCTAATGGGAAAAAAAGCAGGAAGATTATAAGTGGCTTATACTGTCTGGGTGTGGCAGCTAACACCTGTAATCCCAGCACTTGAGCTGTTGAGCTAGGGAGGTCAAGGCTGCAGTAAGCCTAAATAGTGCCACTGCACTCCAGCCTGTCAAGAATGACAGAGTCCCTGTCTCAAAAAAAAAAATTAAAGATTTGATCATAGCCTGATATATGATTTGACTGCCCCCTTGTGGTAATTTACATTTGTCAGTGGTTTAGGAATACTTGCCTGTATACCCGAATGTACAAATTTGTGCAAGACTAAGTTTAATTTCCAGTTTTAAACTTTTGACTGGTAAAACCTTATCCCTTTCCTAAAATAATACTCAAAATCATTATCTCTACTTTTTTTTTTAAATAGAAAATAGGCCTAAGAAAGAATTAATTAAAGTTCTGATTCAGAGGGGATATGATTCAGATCCTGTGAAGGCTTGGAAAGAAGCCCAGCAAAAGGTAATCTTGGTTGGCACTTTTCTATATTGTTTAAAGACTATGTATTAAATAATGCTTATGTTTCACATTTTCTAATAAGGCTACATTTTATTTCATCCTTTAGGTTCCAGATGAAGAAGAAAACGAAGAGAGTGACAACGAAAAGGAAACTGAAAAGAGTGACTCCGTAACAGATTCTGGACCAACCTTCAACTATCTTCTTGATATGCCCCTTTGGTATCTAACCAAGGAAAAGAAAGATGAACTGTGTAGACTAAGAAATGAAAAAGTGAGTTGGTGGTAGGATGGTACATGCTGCTTAGTTTTGTTCTAATGGTAAAAGTAAAAATTATGTGTTGCATGAAAATGCTGCTTGTGTACATATATTAACTCAATTTTGAAATTATGAAGGAACAAGAGCTGGACATGTTAAAGAGAAAGAGTCCATCAGATTTGTGGAAAGAAGACTTGGCTGCATTTATTGAAGAATTAGAGGTGTGTAGTTTATAATGCTCATGCTAGAATTTTTATTAATGAAATAATGTATTCTGCAGTATACCTTTGTCAAGATAGTTCACAATTGGCAATAGAAAGAAAATAAGAGGCATAAAGATAAATCCAAAATAATGTATAAAAGAACAGATCATTGGCCAGGTGCAGTGGCTCATGCTGATAATTCCAGCATTTTGGGAGGCTGAGATGGGCGCATCACTTGAGGTCAGGAGTTCAAGACCAGCCTCGCCAACATGGTGAAACCCTGTCTCTACTAAAAATACAAAAATTAGCCAGGCATGTTGGTGTGTGCCTGTAGTACCAGCTACTTAGGAGGCTGGGGCAGGAGAATTGCACTTAAATGTGGAAGACCACCAACCCAGTCCCCCAAGTCGGCTGAAAAGGACAAAGCTGCTGCCAGACGTGGTGGTTCACGCCTGTAATCCCAACACTTTGGGAGGCTGAGGCAGGTAGATCACCTGAGATCAGAAATTCAAGACCAGCCTGGTCAACACAGTGAAACCCCATGTCTACTAAAAATACAAAAAATTAGCCAGGCATGGTGGCGGGCGCCTGTAATCCCAGCTACTCAGGAGGGTGAGGCAGGAAAATCTCTTGAACCTGGGAGGCGGAGGTTGCAGTGAGCCAAACTTGCACCATTGTACTTTAGCCTTGGCAACAAGAGTGAAACTCTGTCTCAAAAAATAATAATAAATAAAAAAAAATTTTAAATAAAAATAAAAAAAGGATAAAGCCACTGGGTGTGGTGGCTCACGCCTGTAATTCCAATGTGCTATGGGAGGCTGAAGCAGGAGGATCACTTGAGATTAGGAGTTCAAGACCAGCCTGGACAACAAAGCAAGACCTCATCTTTACAAAATTTTTTTTTAAATAGCCAGGCATGGTGGTGTGGGCCTATAGTCTCAGCTACTCTGGAGGCCAAGGTGGGAGGGTCACTGAAGAACAGGAGTTCAAGGCTGCAGTGAACTATGATCATTTAACCATGTACTCCAGGCTGGGTGATAGAACATAACTCTGTCTGTTTAAAAAAACAAAAAACCTTATTTCTTAAATTTAACATGCAAATTTATATTATTGCACTTCAGTATAGATGCCTAGCTCATTTTAATCACTTGATTGGATAAGTGTGCATCACTTGCTTTCATATTTTATATGTGAATTTATACATATATATGTATATACATGTTTTATTCTTAATTTCTCCCTTGTTTTCCTCAAAAAGGTTAAGTGGTAGAATCAGGAAAAAAACCCAGTCTTCTGTCTCCACACCTGCCTTTTCAAGGTGTGCCTTAATTACATTTTCACTATTGTTGATAGTATACTAGGTTATGGAACAATTTATCACGAGTTTTTAAGATGTAACAAATGGAAATCAGCTTAACTATGGCCTTTTAGATGTTGTAGTGTTTTTGTTAGCATATAAATTTGCTTTCTTATATCCCTTCTATAGGCTGTTGAAGCCAAGGAAAAACAAGATGAGCAAGTGGGACTTCCTGGGAAAGGGGGGAAAGCAAAGGGGAAAAAAGCACAAATGGCTGAAGTTTTGCCTTCTCCATCTGGTCAAAGAGTCATTCCACGAATAACTATAGAAATGAAAGCAGATGCAGAAAAGAAAAGTAAAAAGAAAATTAAGGTAATACTCTTGTGGCTCACGCCTGTAATCCCAGCACTTTGGGAGGCCAAGGTGGGTGGATCACTTGAGGTCACTAGTTGGAGACCAGTCTGGCCAACATAGTGAAAATCCCATCTCTACTAAAAATACAAAAAATTAGCCAGGCATGGTGACGGGCACCTGTAATCCAGCTACTTAGGAGGCTGAGGCAGGAGAATCGCTTGAACCCAGGAGGCAGAGGTTGCAGTGAGCCAAGGTTGCACTACTGCACTTCAGCCTGGGCAACAGAGAGAAACTCCATGTCAAAAAAAAAGTAATACTCTTGAAAAAATTATGCATAAAATATTGATGCATAGCTCCACTTAAAATTTTTAAAAACATAAGATTTCTAATCCCATAGTTCAGAATTTATTTTATATCCAACCCTAACTTTCCTATGTACCTGGTTTTTTAATGTATAAATATCTTGAAAAAGTCATACCTGTACCTTTATTCAGAGCTGCCCAAAGAAAAAAGCACTCTTTGACCCTATTTATATTTGACTATATATTTATATATTTGACTGTATCTTTCAAATAAGTTGGCAAAACTTAACCATTTTTGTCTTGCTTTCTTTTAGAATGAAAATACTGAAGGAAGCCCTCAAGAAGATGGTATGGAATTAGAAGGCCTAAAACAAAGATTAGAAAAGAAACAGAAAAGAGAACCAGGTATTACAGCATTTTAAGGAAAATAGTATAAAGTGAAGATTAAATTGTGTTTCTTACCTGGGACGTTCCACATAGATGTTCAAAACCTTTTTGTTGAATTGAGAAACCTGAAAGAAGATTGAATTCTACTTGGACCTCTTTAACATTGTCCTTGGAATTTGCTTCATTTTAGAAAATATTTTATAATGAAATAGTTTGTTAATTTGAACTCCTTAATTGGGATCTAAGAAAACACCCAGTTTATTAGATTTCATTTTCTAGCCAATTATGAGGTTCTAGTATATAAAGTTTCTTAAGGAAAGTGACTACATGTCAGTCATGTTTGTATTATAGTATCTCTAGAGTATAACATATAGGTAATATAGGTAATGTTCACTCAGTGAACTAAATAGAATTAACAATTCTGTTAATCATTTGATAATGACTACTATCTACTTTTTTAAAAACATCTTTATTGAGATATTCACATACCAAATTTGTCCATTTAACATATACCATTCGGCTGGGCACCATGGCTCATGCCTGTAATTCCAGCACTTTGGGAGGCTGAGGCAGGAAGATCACTTGAGGTCATGAATCATTTGGACCCAGGAGACAGAGGTTGCAGAGAACCAAGACTGTGGCATTACACTCCAGGCTGGGCGACAGAGCAAGACTCCAACTCAAAAAAAAATTATAAAAATATAAAGTTTACCATTGATTGGTTTTAGTATAATCACAGAGTTAGTACAATTTGTCACCCCCTAAGAAAACTGTACTCATTAACCATCACTTGCCATTTGCCACCAACTCTTCTCCCCACTAGGCAACAACTAAAAAATCTATCTCTAGATTTTCCTATTCTGGACATTTCCTGTAAATTGAATCTATAATATGTTGTCTCTTGGAGCTGACTTCTTTCACTTAGCACAATATTTTCAAGGGTAACCCATGTAGTACCCGATGTATTCATTTTTTGTTGTTGTTTTGTTTTGTTTTTTTGAGACAGACTCTTGCTCTGTCACCCAGGCTGGCATGCAGTAGTAGCAAGATCTTGGCTCACTGCAACCTCTGCCTGCTAGGTTGAGGCGATTCTCTTGCCTCAGCCTCCTGAGTACCTGGGATTACAGGCCCGCACCACCACGCCCAACTAATTTTTGTATTTTTTTTTTTTTTCCTTTTTTTTTTTTTTTTTTTAATTTTTTTCTTTTTTTTTTTCTTTTTTTTTTTTTTTTTTTTTTTTTTTTTTTTTTTTTTTTTTGAGACAGAGTTTCACTCTTGTTACCCAGGCTGGAGTGCAATGGCGCGATCTCGGCTCACCGCAACCTCTGCCTCCTAGGTTCAGGCAATTCTCCTGCCTCAGCCTCCTGAATTTTTGTATTTTTAGTAGAAACAGTGTTTTACCATTTTGGCCGGGCTGGTCTCAAACTCCTGACCTCAAGTGATCCACCCACCTCGGCCTCCCAAAGTGCTGAGATTACAGGTACAAGCCACTGAGCCCAGCCAGTACTTGATTCTTTTTTATTGCTAAATAGTATTTCATTGTATGGCTATGCCACATTTTATCTGTTCATTAGTTGATGGGTTTTTTTGTTTCTTTTTTAATTGAGGCGGAGTCTGTCTCCAACTGCACTCCAGGCTGGAGTACAGGGGCACAATCTCAGCTTGCCGCAACCTCTGCCTCCCAGGTTCAAGTGATTCTCCTGTCGCAGCCTCCCAAATAGCTGGGATTACAGGTGTTTGCCACCACGCCTGGCTAATTTTTTTGTATTTTTAGTGGAGATGGGGTTTTGTCATGTTTGCCAGGCTGGTCTCAAACTCCTCACCTCAGGTGATCCGCCCGCCTTGGCCTCCCAAAGTGCTGGGGTTACAGGCGTGAGCCACTATGCCTGGCCTGTTTTTACTTTTTGATGATTGTGATTAATACTGTGAGCATTTATGTACTGTGCAAGGTTTTGTGTGAACTTAAGTTTTCATTTCTCTTGGGTAGATACCTAGGAGTAGAATAGTTGAGTCATGATTATTCTATGTTTAACCTTTTAAGGAACTGCTGAACTGTTTTCTAAAGCAGTTGCACCATTTTGCATTCCCACCAACAGTGTATGAGGATTCCTGTTTCTCCACTTCCTCACCAGCATTTGTCGTCTTTCTCTTTGATCCTAGCCATTCTAGTGTGTATGAAGTGGTTGGTATCAGCCTCCCATACTGTTGGGATTACAAGCATGGGCCACTGCGCCCAGCCTTGATGATGTTTTTTGAAGCACAAATTTTTAATTCTTATGAAGTCCAGGTTACCTATTTTTTTGTTATTGCTTATGCTTTTGGTGTCGTATCTAATCTTTTGTTAAACTGAAAGTCATGAAGGTAGGCCTCTGTGTTTTATTCTTAGCATTTTACAGATTTAGCTCTTAGATTTAGGTCCATGATCCACTTCATATTAGTTTTTGTATGGGGTATGCGGAAGGTGTCCAACCTGATTCCCTTGCCTGTAGATATCCAATTATTTCAGTACCATATGTTAAAAAGACTTATTTCCACAATGTTTGTCTTCACCCTTGTCAGAAATCAATTGATTATAAATGTTAAGATCTCTGTCCTTGAGTATGTACTTTTTTTGAGACAGGATCTCACTGTGTTGCCCAGGCTGGTATTGAAATCTTGGCTCAAGCAATCCCTCTATTTCAGTCTCCCAAGTAGCTGGGACTATAGGCGCTCACCACCATGACTGGCTAATTTCTAAAACTTTTTTGTAGAGACAGTCCTTTTTTTTCTTTTTCTTTTTTTTTTTCCTTTGAGACAAGATCTCACTCTGTCTCCCAGGCTGGAGTATAGTGGCATGATCACAGCTCATATCCTCAATCTCCTAGGCTCAAAACAATCCTCCTGCCTCAGCCTCCCTAGTGGCTGGAACCACAGGCACACTCCACCATGCCCGCTAATTTCTGTATTTTTTGTAGAGATGGGGTTTTACCATGTTGTCCAGGCTGGTCTCAAGCTCCTGAGCCCAAGTGATCTGCCTACCTCACCCTCCCAAAGTGCTGAGATTACAGGCGTGAGCCACCACACCCCACCAAGATGGGGTCTTACATCTTGCCCCAGCTGATCTAAAATCCCTGGGATCAAGTAATCCTCCCACCCCAGCCTCCCAAAGTGCTGGGATTACAGGCATGAGCCACTGTGCCCCAGCCACATTATATTTATTTGTGAGATGAAGTGACCAAGCTACATGCTCCACAAAAACAGGGATCGTGTCTGTTTCTTTTCATCGTTATATTCTCAGAACTATCACAGCAGTCAATAAATTTGAAGGATGGATGGATGATAGATGGAGAAAAGTGAGTCTAAGAATATATAAAGGTGATTAATTTCTATCTCCCCTCTAGGTACAAAGACAAAGAAACAAACCACATTGCCATTTAAACCAATCAAAAAAGGAAAGAAGAGAAATCCCTGGTCTGATTCAGAATCAGATAGGAGCAGTGATGAAAGTAATTTCGATGTCCCTCCACGAGAAACAGAGCCACGGAGAGCAGCAAGTAAGGAAAACTAAAAGAACATTATAGATATGCTGTAGGAGTTGAATGGCCAATATTCTTCAGGGTACTTTGCCCCCAAAATTACTATATCTTAATAGAGCAATAAATTATGCTAAAGCTTTGAAACACTGAAGCATCTTTCAGGAGATTAAAAGCTAAAATATTCATGAAATGTTTATTTCGACCTATAAATTAAATGTTTCTCCTACTACCCTCTGATTTTTTTATATATGTATGTTTTTTCTAGCAAAAACCAAATTCACAGTGGATTTGGATTCAGATGAAGATTTCTCCGATTTTGATGAAAAAACTCAGGATGAAGATTTTGTCCCATCAGATGCTAGTCCACCTAAAACCAAAACTTCCCCAAAGTAAGTATCTTATCTAATACGGGTTTTGTCATGATTGTTTCTAATATATTCTTTTTTGCTTAACGCACTTAGAATTGGTTGTCAGGATATGTATATTTTTTTAATTCTAGACTTAATAACAAAGAACCGAAACCACAGAAAAGTGCCATGCCAGGTATGTATTTAAGTAAAAGTATTGAGACATCTGTCTTACTGGGATACTCAGATCCAACTGGGTTCTAATCCTGCCTACATTATCCAAGTACTTCCTTTGGAAATAAATTTGAGTTCTTATTAACATTATGTTAATATTGTTTAGTTTCACATATAAATGGGTTCTGCATTCAATATACTAAAAGTAATTACAGTGTTAGCCAGGTACTTTGCTTTGTGCTAGAGATACAAAAAAACTGTTCTTGCTGATAAAAAATTTAGAAATTAGGCCGGGCGCGGTGGCTCAAGCCTGTAATCCCAGCACTTTGGGAGGCCGAGGCGGGTGGATCACGAGGTCAACAGATCGAGACCATCCTGGTCAACATGGTGAAACCCCGTCTCTACTAAAAATACAAAAA